TGCTGACGCTCATCAAATATTAACGTCAGAAAAACTTTGGGAAACTCACTTTCTCTCAGCTGGATCCGTTTGCAGGAAAACCGTTGACACATTTTTCAACACGTGCGCTGCATTAGAGGAAACGAGACGATTAGAATCAGCGCTGATCTCAGGGAGCGTGAGAGTCCGTGTTCTGGACAGAGACTTGACGGAGGCCGAGGGATTCCCTGTGAGGTTCTCTCCGGTGGTCGGTGCCGTTTGCTCTGGATTTCTGTTTACTGGCAGCTCCGTTTGTTTGCTGGGAGGTTTTGTGGCACAAATGTTGCTGGAAATATTTTTACGGCCGCGTTAAACCTCGTGCTTGGCCGGAGCGCTGGCCTGATTACAAACACACATTTCTGTACAAACCAAAAGTCTGACTGTGTTTCACACGAACCGACGTAGGTTTTTTTTTTTTTAGCTGCACGTTGACGAGTGAATGTTAAAATGTACAAACGTTCAGTCTTTTGTTATCGTTCCAGGCCAGAAAGTGAAACCTACATGTCGTCTGACTGATCCTGCAGAACCAAACACGTTCTTCTGTTGAAACTGAAGTTTGTAAAATTAACCCAACGTCTGAAAAAACTCCACTGGAACCGTGAAACATCTTCTTAAAGGGGTGTCGCTCCTCGCCCGGCACCTCAAAGTTTTAATCATAAATCATGCACGACCTGTTAGCTCTTGGAATGTGTGTTGGAGATCACTCTCAGCTACTACCACAACCAATTCCAGCCTGGTTCTGCAAAACTGACAGTTTTGTGCTTCCTGATGTTGATTCGTTGTGGCGGCCGTCTTAACTCGAGCTAACTTGAGAAGTTAATTGTGCTTCCAACTATTTCTCCCTAATCATTTGATTAAATCGAGCTTCGTTTTGTGAGCAGACAAACATCCAGTCTGGACCTGGTTTGACCTTTAAAGCACCAAAAACAAGTTCAGCGTTTCCAGGCTGTGATTTAACTTGGTAATCACCTACAGAAGCCCAGAGAGGCCAAGTTCCCCGTCCTCGGGCTGAGCGAGGCTGAAACGATGAATCACAGCCGCTCGCTGAAGGTCGGCTGATGCTGAAAGATGGCGGCTCGTCTTTGGAGCGACGCCCGACTGAAACTAGAGCCCGACTCTTTATGGCTTTAGCTTCAGTGGAACCTGGAGGACCGGACCTTGAGGGTTGGTACCTTTTGTTCCTTCTCACTTCAGATCAAATCAACTTTGTTTGTGAAGCAGATTCAAAACAGCCGGAATGCTGCACACAAGTAAAACTCAAAACAGCAGAACATTAAAAAAAACAGCTAAAATCACTGGAATAAATAAAAAAAAACTGCATTTTCTGCTAAATTACTGAAATTCATTGAAGAGGTGGAAACTGACTTGTTCAAGTTAAAATAAGCTGAACATTAGCTAAAATTTCAAAGAAGCTAAAAGGTAAAGTTTGTAAAAGGCTAGCTAAAAGCTATAAATATCAAAAATGTATCTTAAGTTAAAAGTAACAAAAAGGTAGCAAAAGCTAAAAAAAGTAGCAAAGCCTAGCTAAAAGGCTACAAATAGCTTAATGCTAAGCACTGACAAACTAGCTAAAAGCTAGAAGTTGAAAAGTTAATGAAGCTAAATGTAGCAAAACACTCTCTAAAAGCTAAAATTTGTAAAATACTCGTTTTATTAAGACTAAAAGAAATCAGAAGTACCCATAAGGTAGCTAGAAGCTAAACATAGCAACAGATGAGCTAAAAACTGAATGTAACAGAAGGCTAGGCAAAAACTAAAAGTAGCTCAAGAAGACAAAAACTGAGCCGGTATCCTGAAGTAGATGTTTCTGGAGGAATTTAATTTTTATTATTTTATTTCTACAGGAAAACTACTTGTAAATAAAGTTAGCAAGCTCCAAAATATTAAAATTTCAAAAGCCGACGTCATGGCACCCGTCTTCTGAAGGAGCCGAATGTTTTGGTGCGTAAACGGCTAAAACTGACAAAGTCTGCTGAAGTTAGATGGAAAACAAAAGTACAGAAATTAAAAATAAAACCCAAGAAAGCTGAGGATTATTGAGCATGAACTTTGATGTTTTGAAGCACTTTGGGCCCCAGAAACCATCTTATCACCAGCAAACTGGTTGGTCCACTATGGGAGTGTGCTGCTTGTGGGACTCTGTTTATTTGTGGCTCCTCTGACTGATGAAGTCCTTTGGATGAAGGATGAAACGCCTCAACAAAAAAAGAAAGAAACCGTCCGGATGACCTGACTGAGAATTGTTGGACGACTCGATGAAGAGCTGAGGACAGTAAATGTCTCGAGCTGGGCTTTAAGTCGTCGAGGAGGATTATAAGAAGAATCCTTCTGAGTTGAAGATCAGCTTGTGGTTCATGCATCACCTGAAACAACCGTGCATGGTTTAATCCAGAACATGCACGTTTGTGGGCCGTCCATGGAGTTCATGGAAAAACCCGCGCTCTCAGAAAGTCCCAGCTGAAGTTCAGAGCAGGACGAGCGTACGAAGCAGCTGCAGGAAGCCGAAGTGTAGCGGCGTGCCTCCACGGCGACATCATAAAGACAGAGTTATGAGCTCGTCAGGGGTGCAGCTCTTCATCTTTAGTTTGTTTTCAAACGGTTCCCTGCTTGATCTCCAGCGCGGCTCGAGCCCCTGAGAGTTGCTGTGGTGAGCTCACCCTGCGGCTCGAACACGTCTCCAAACTGATCGTGCACATGTTGCTGTGAGTCACCGAGCAGGGGAGCAGCTCTGCTTTCCTTCTGACTCCTCGCTCCTCGTCAGGGAGAGGAGGAGGAGGAGGAAGGAGTGAGTCATGTTAGTTAGACCTTAATAAAAAACAAGCTCCAGGGTCTGTGACCTCCCCGTGATGATGATGATGATGATGAGTGTGCTGGTGGTGAGCAGAAAGGTGCTGGGTCACTTTGTCACCGTGGAAACGCAGAGCTAAAGTTCACGTCTGCCGACACACACACGGATTTATTTTGTTATTTCCAGTCATCCTGGAATAAAACCAGGAGCTGCACCGATACAAACGCATGTTTGTGGGAATTTGTTCAACGTGTTTCTGAAAGAACTGGAAACCAGAAGAATCGGACTCTTCCTGCTGGGCAGAACATCCTGAAACGTTGCATCGTGGTTGGACAATCTGCGACTCGTCTTTTCTGCCGTTTAATAAAATCCTCGCTGCGTCTCAGATTCTCCCAAATGCTGCAGCAAACTCGGGTTGGTGTTGATCCCAGTTTCTGTCCGGTCGTTCCTCCCAGTTAGGGTTTCGATCCCAGTTTCTGTCCGGTCGCTCCTCCCAGTCAGACAGTTTACTCGGCACAGCTCACATCAGCAAATGTGCAACAAAATTAACGTATTTATTTCATGAGCAATGAACGTTTTTACAAGAGCAGCACATGTTTTACTGTGGAGTGGTAGTAGCTGAGAGTCATTCCCAACACGCTCTACTGGAGCAATGGAAGTTTTTCTGCTCCGGGACAAATAAAGGTTTATTTTATTCTGTTCTGTTTAGCTGGGGCTCTGACGTGCACGCCTCTAACGGTTAAAATGTCCATTTTACAAAAGAAGACGATAAAGCGTTCAGACCGATCACGGAGGGCGTTTATTTCTGCTGTCAGCGCTTCTTTGGCGTTTCCACGTCTACTACTGCGTCTGTACTAATTTAAGGGAAACCATTACGCTGAGACACGAGAACCGAGCTGCTGACGCGTCCAGAAATGTCCACCGTCCTTGTGTGGAGGGGACGGTGTCCTCTGAGGTGCAGGGAGACTCGCTGGCCGTTGGGGAAATGTTTGGAATGAGACGAAGCAGGTTTTTGTTGCAGAGGCACAGCTGTACAGCAACCTCAGTATGATCTGTGACACACACGCGCACGCACACACACGCGCATGCATGCATGCACAATCACAGGCGGGACAGAAAGCAAACCCACACTCACTCTCTCTCATGCCAAGACAATGGCCTGCTAATCCTTGGCTCTGATTGGTCGAGTGCAGATTACCCAGAGGGCACCAGCTGTCAGGGAGAGGCGAGGCCCAGTTTCCTCAGTATCACGCACACACACTGACACACACACACTTTGACGGTTAAGCCTGTGCACATAAGCTGAAGAAAGCAGAAACAAGCCGTTAGCTCGATGCTACTCGTGACGGCTCTTTCTCGTGTTTTAACCGGACGTGATTTGTAAGCTTGTCATCACGCTCGCTGCAGCAAACGAAGGCATTCGCCGGCTGTCAGCAGAGGCTGTTTGTCACTGCTGTCACCAAACTGTAAAAATAGGAACGGACATTAATAACGCTGTAATGCTAACGGGCTTCACGAGAGCCCAGAGCAGCCAGGTAGCCCAGTTCTGGGCTTTATATTTAGCCTGTGTCGCTCCCGTTGCGCTCAGAATCTGACACCTCCCTCCTTCTGCAGCAGCTTTCTGAGGTTTTTACGTTTTGTGTAACTGGACTCATTCGGTTCTCATCAAAGCCTCAGCGAGGCCGAGCTGGGTCAAACCGAGCCAGGCCAACAGTGCAGGGGAAGGGCGGGTGCAGGAAGTGCTGAGTGAGGCGCTGCTGGACCGCGATAAGCCCAGAACAGGCCGGAGCGAAGGTGAAAGGATGGAGAGAGATGAAAACAGGAAGAACCAAAAGGAGAATGAAGGAGACGAAGAACAAACTCTGGAGGAGGTCTGATCTCCGTGATGTTCGGAGGACGGACTCCGAGACTTTGGCTGGGCTTGTCTTTGTTTGATGGTCTGATGAGTCCAGAAATCCACGCCTGCTCCAACATTTGTTTTTTTCAAAAGCATTTTTATGCACACACACGCACACACACACACGCGCACACACACACACACTGTTGTGTGCAGGCAGCCATGTTGGCAGCTGTGAAGGAGCATTCGTCACCGAAAGAAATATCAAATTCAAACTATTCTTTAAAGATTATTCCCTAAAGTTTTTACCTGAGGAGGGACTGGTTGATTTACGTTGTTTTATGTGTGTGTGTTTAGGCACGACAGAGCGCGTGTGTCTGATCCAGGGGACGGTGGAGGCGCTCAACGGCGTCCATGACTTCATCGCCGAGAAGGTGAGGGAGATGCCTCAGAGCACCCAGAAGACAGAGCCGGTCAGCATCCTGCAGCCGCAGACCACCGTCAACCCGGACCGCGTCAAACAGGTCCATCCCGTTCTGCTCTATTCTGTTCTGTTCTGTTCTGTTCCGTTCTGTTCTATTCTGTTCTGTTCTGTTC